TGATATTACGATATTGTGATTTCACTGTTGTCAAGAAATGTGAGTCACATTTGTGCTAGCGAAATGTGATTATATATATATATATATATATATATATATATATATATATATATATATATATATATATATATATATATATATATATATATATATATATATATATATGACAATGTCAGACCTCGGAGGAAAAATGAAACAGGAAATTTCCTTAAGTACTTTCGTATATTAAATATACGAAAGTACTTAAGGAAATTTCCTGTTTCATTTTTCCTCCGAGGTCTGACATTGTCACATTCTTAATCACGTGTTTATTTTCGTGATATACACACATATATATATATATATATATATATATATATATATATATATATATATATATATATATATATATATATATATATTATATACATATATGTCGTACCTAGTAGCCAGAACGCACTTCTCAGCCTACTATGCAAGGCCCGATTTGCCTAATAAGCCAAGTTTTCCTGAATTAATATATTTTCTCTAATTTTTTTCTTATGAAATGATAAAGCTACCCATTTCATTATGTATGAGGTTAATTTTTTTTTTATTGGAGTTAAAATTAACGTAGTTATATGACCGAACCTAACCAACCCTACCTAACCTAACCTAACCTATCTTTATAGGTTAGGTTAGGTTAGGTAGCCAAAAAAGTTAGGTTAGGTTAGGTTAGGTAGGTTAGGTAGCCGAAAAACTATTATTTCATGAAAACTTGGCTTATTAGGCAAATCGGGCCTTACATAGTAGGCTGAGAAGTGCGTTCTGGCTACTAGGTACGACATTATATATATATATATATATATATATATATATATATATATATATATATATATATATATATATATATATATATAGTTACATATCTGATTTTATACAAAAAATGAACATTAAGAGGACACAAGAAAAAGTTCGCTTCCTAGAGGCTGTAGATTTCCTCGAACTCCTCCGACGCCGGGCAGGAACCGAGGATGCAGCGGGCATTTCCCCTCTGGATCGCGACACTGAGGCGCTGAAAGAGAAAACTTGCTGCTCTAGGGTCTCTTGTGGTGTCAATGAGCTTGGAACCAAGATCCTTAAGAAACCTTCTTGCACTCTCACCCCATGGGCCTAGGGTCTCAGACCCTATTGGAACGAAATTGTACCTTTGATCTAATTGCCTGTACTTGACTGACTTTTGTTTTTCTCTGTGTGTCTCTGTGTTTTTCTCTATATATATATATATATATATATATATATATATATAATGGAGGTGCGAAAGTGATGTGTGAAAGTGAGAGAGGTGTGTGAGAAGCAGGAGAACACCGCCCACGACAACAGGGCTGGGAACAAGCCCAACAAGGACAAGTCACATACACCTGAACTAAGAGGGGGCGGCGATAAATGAAAGAGACTTGGAAGATACTGAAATTACCAGAGATGAGGTTAGGATGCATCTGCTTGATCTAGAAGTGACTGAGGCTGTTGGATCTGATGGAATCTCACGATGGATGCTAAACGAGGGGGCAGAAGCACTTTGCGTGCCACTCTCTATGGTGTATAGTAAGTCTACAAAAAGGGGGATAGGCAAGAGTCCCTAAACTACAGGCCAGTGTCCTTAACTTGTATACCATGCAAGGTGATGGAGAAGATCGTGAGAAAAAGCCTGGTAGCACATCTGGAGAGAAGGGACTTTGTAACACACCACCAGCATGGGTTCAGGGATGGCAAGTCGTGTCTCACAGGTTTAATAGAATTCTATGACCAAGCAACAAGCATTAAGCAAGAAAGAGAAGGATGGGCAGACTGCATTTTCTTGGACTGTCAGAAAGCTTTTGACACAGTACCCCATAAGAGACTGTTGCATAAGTTGGAGAAACAAGCTGGAGTAAGTGGTAGGGTGCTCCAGTGGATAAGGGAGTACCTAAACAACAGGAAGCAGAGTTACTGTGAGGGGTGAGACCTCAGACTGGCGTGATGTCACCAGCGGAGTCCCACAGGGCTCTGTACTCGGACCTATCCTGTTTCTGATATACGTGAATGATCTTCCAGAAGGTATAGACTCATTCCTCTCAATGTTTGCTGATGATGCTAAAATTATGAGAAGGATTAAGACAGAGGAGGACAGCAAGAGGCTACAGAATGACCTGGACAGACTGAAGGAATGGTCCAACAAATGGCTACTAGAGTTTAACTCGAGCAAGTGCAAAGTGATGAAGATAGGCGTAGGGAGCAGGAGGCCAAACACAAGGTACCAGCTGGGAGAGGAAATCCTTCAGGAGTCAGGACGAAAGAAAGATCTGGGGGTTGATATCACACCAGACCTGTCCCCTGAAGCCCACATCAAAAGGATAACATCAGCGGCGTATGCAAGGCTGGCGAACATAAGAACTGCCTTCAGAAACTTGTGTAAGGAATCATTCAGAACCTTGTATACCTCATATGTCAGACCAATACTGGAATATGCGGCTCCAGCATGGAGTCCACATCTAGTCAAACACAAAACGAAGTTAGAAAAGGTTCAGAGGTATGCCACCAGGCTAGTCCCCGAGCTGAGAGGAATGAGCTATGAGGAAAGATTACTGGAACTGAACCTCACGACACTGGAAGACAGAAGAGTTAGGGGAGACATGATCACTACCTACAAAATTCTCAGAGGAATTGACAGGGTAGATAAAGATAAACTGTTTAACACGGGTGGTACGCGAACAAGGGGACACAGGTGGAAACTGAGTACCCAAATGAGCCACAGGGACGTTAGAAAGAACTTTTTCAGTGTCAGAGTAGTTAACAGATGGAATGCATTAGGCAGTGATGTGGTGGAGGCTGACTCCATACACAGTTTCAAATGTAGATATGATAGAGCCCAGTAGGCTCAGGAACCTGTACACCAGTTGATTGACAGTTGAGAGGCGGGACCAAAGAGCCAAAGCTCAACCCCCGCAAGCACAACTAGGTGAGTACTGTGGGAGGGGTGTGGGCGGCCAGCCACTGTGGGAGGGGTGTGGGCGGCCAGCCACTGTGGGAGTGGTGAGGGCGGCCAGCCACTGTGGGAGTGGTGTGGGCGGCCAGCCACTGTGGGAGTGGTGAGGGCGGCCAGCCACTGTGGGAGGGGTGTGGGCGGCCAGCCACTGTGGGAGGGGTGTGGGCGGCCAGCCACTGTGGGAGGGGTGAGGGCGGCCAGCCACTGTGGGAGGGGTGTGGGCGGCCAGCCACTGTGGGAGGTGGTGTGGGAGGGCGGCCAGCCACTGTGGGAGGGGTGAGGGCGGCCAGCCACTGTGGGAGGGGTGTGGGCGGCCAGCCACTGTGGGAGGGGTGTGGGCGGCCAGCCACTGTGGGAGGGGTGAGGGCGGCCAGCCACTGTGGGAGGGGTGTGGGCGGCCAGCCACTGTGGGAGTGGTGAGGGCGGCCAGCCACTGTGGCAGCAGCTGGGTGGTGGTGGTGGAGGTGCTCGCCCACATGTACTCCCCTGTAGTTGCTTGCAGAGTCGAGCTCGAGCCCCTAAGCCCCGCCCCGTGAACTATGAGTGGTGATATGAGATGACCGTTAGTGTGTACACACACACACACACACACACATGCGCTAGTTGGGTCGTGAGGCCTTTAGGTATTTTGTAGTTTAATGTAATGAGTATTCTCACACTGTTCTTACAAAAGTGTGCACTGAGAAAGCGTCAACAACCTTTTCCTCTTAATTCATTCAATTTATTTTGTATTGAAAACGTTCCTGGTGACATTTGTAATACATTTGGGTCTCCATTCTCCAACTATGTCCTTTGGTTGTAAAAAGTCTTCGATTCGAACAATGTGTGTGTGCTTAGTCAGTTCCCTTAGACTGTTGTTACGACGGTGGTCTAGTTCCCGCACTCTGTCTTCATAGCTCAGGACCCTTAGCTCAGGACCGAGCCTTCTTGTGTATCTTTGAACCTCTGTATCGTTTTGTATTGTACTCCTTTAGTGGGAGTTACTGTCACAGTCTGGGGTGACAACATTAATGTAGAACCTGGAGCATTTCTGGTGTGTTGCAGCTTGAGGTAAAACACGCTCAACACGCTCAACACACTCAACACACTCAATACACTCAACACGCTCAACACGCTCAATACACTCAACACGCTCAACACGCTCAACACGCTCAACACACTCAATACACTCAATACACTCAATACACTCAACACGCTCAATACACTCAACACGCTCAACACGCTCCCAACAACCACACAGGGAGATGCATCCAATTTGTGTTCACTCAATCACCCTCGGACCTCACAATCTCCCCACGTTATTACCCCCCCCCCACACACACCAAATGACTAGATAATGGGTGCGACCAGCCCCCCACACTCACCACCCCCACACTCGCCACCCCCACACTCACCACCCCACACTCACCACCCCACACTCACCACACCACACTCACCACACCACACTCACCACACCACAAAGTATCCCTGCACGGGCGTGAAGCCAAAATGTTGCCACAGCACTGGTAATGAGAAGATGCTCCAGCGTGTACGGCTCAGGCCCATATTACACCACAAAACATAACCGCGCAAATATCAAATTCTGCTTCAAGGCTAAGAAACAACTTAAAAAAATTTATAATTGGGAATTGTTCTCAAGAAACAGGGACGAAGACGGCCAGAGTGGAGCAGAGTGAGAGGAAGTGTGACAGTGAGGCAGGGTGACGGGGTAGTGTTGGCCAGATGGAACACACACACACACACACACACACACACACACACACACACAAGAGGCATGTGTGGGGACTGCAAGTTGCCGGCCAAACCCGCCCATCCACCTGACACATCTCGAACCACTGTTGCGGTAAATGGATCCTGTGACCGGCCTCTCGCCCAGGATTGGATCCCATTTGGGCTCTTCCCCCCGCCTCCCCCCCCCCCCCCACCACCAAGAAGCGGCCCCAGCGGTCCATCACAGCTGGGAGGCGCTCACACAAGCTGCCTCGTGGTCACCCTTACATCACCCTCCAATACTCACCTCTCCATCTTCTCTCTAATATTTTCAACACATTTAAGCAATAAAATATTGATATACCACTAAATGCATGACTTATAGAGTGTAGGATGCATAGTATATATTAGGTATCCCGCGCTACCTCGGGTATACCGCGGGATACCTAATATACCGCGGGATACCAGTTATAGATTTCTACGAATATCTGATATACTATTAGCTTCTAAATATACCGCTGTATACCTGATATAGCCAAGGGTTCTCTCTGTGTATTGCCGCGTGTCATGATGGTAGAGCTCCGGCACCCAGAGAGCCCCAGGCTGACCCGTGTCAGTAGAGGAGACTAACCAGAGCACCCGTGAAGGGACCTCACCAACACCACCTCCGAGGATGACCTCAGTGACAACCACCAAGTACCTTATCCCGATAACTGGAGTATGAGATCCCCCCGTGCTCCTGGGGGCCCCGTGCTCCTGGGGGGCCCCTGTGGTCCTGGGGGGCCCGTGGTCCTGGGGGCCCGTGCTCCTGGGGGTCCGTGTCTCGAAGGATGAGGCTCTGGGTACTGAACACTCGCCAGGAAATGAAAGTGCAAGTGCTTGGACATTATACTCTAAACAACCAGATTACACACATCTTGTTGATACATTGAATTAGTCTTTTGAGAGAGAGAGAGAGAGAGAGAGAGAGAGAGAGAGAGAGAGAGGGAGAGAGAGAGAGAGGGAGAGAGAGAGAGAGGGAGAGAGAGAGAGAGGGGGGGGGGGGGGGGGGGAGAAAACTGAAATTAAATTATAATGGTAATGGAACAGGACAGAAGCAGACAGGTTCACCACAAACAACAATGGAGTATGCGAGGAACTCAATAAGAAGTTCCAGGACAAATATTCTCAATAGAGCCAGGGAAAGTTCGTGAACCAAGAGAGGGAATATCTAACCAGGCACCACTACAGGAGTTTGAGATTACCAGCGGGGAGGTAAGGAACTATTTGCTCGAGTTACATGTGGCAGAAGCTGTTGGCCCAGACGGAATCTCAACGTGGATGCTAATAGAGGGAGCAGAAGCACTGTGCCTTCCCCTCTCAATGGTGTATTACAAATTACTGGTAACAGGTGAACAGCCAACAATTTGGAAGACGGTTAATGTAATCCCGATATACAAGGGTGACAGGTAGGAGGCACTGAACTACAGGCCAGTGTCCCTAGACTACATACTATGCAAGGTGATGAAGAAGAAAACTAGAAGAACATCTGGAGAGAAGGAACTTTGTAACACATCAGCATGGGTTCAGGGATGGCAAATCATGCATCACAGGGTTAATAGAATTCTATGACCGGGCGACACAAGTCAGGCAAGGAAGAAGGGGTTGGGCAGACTGCGAATCTTTGGATGGCCAGAAAGCCTTTGACAGAGTATCCCATCAGCGAGTAGTGCACAACTGGAAATGCAGGTAGGGGTGAAAGGGAAGGTACTCCACTGGATAAGGGAGTACCTAAGCATCAGAAGACAGCGAGTGACTGTGAGGGGTGAGGTCTCAGACTGGCAAGGTGTTACCAATGGAGTCCCACAGGGCTCAGTCCTCGGTCCTATCCTGATTCTGATCAATGTAAATAATCTCCCAGAGAGAATACACTCGTTCCTCTCAATGTTTGCTGATGATGCAAGAATTATGAGGAGGATTAAGACAGGAAGATTGCAAGAGGCTACAAGATGACCTTGGCAACTTGTAGGAATGGCTCAACGAATTGCTATTAGCTTAATTCCAGTAAATATAAAGTAATGAAGGTAGGTGGAGGGAGGAGGCCAGACACGGGATACCGAATGGAAGACGAACTCCTGAAGCCCACATAAAAAAGCATATCATCAGCGGTGTATGCGAGGCTGGCTAACACCAGAAAGACCTTAAGAAATTTGTGTAAGAAATCATTTAGAACCTTGTTCTCCACATATGTAAGACTAATCACGGAGTACGCAGCTCCAGTATTGTGTCCATACCTTGTGAAAGATAAAACGAGGTTGGACAAGGTTCAAAGGTACGCCACAAGACTAGTCATAAAACTTTGAGGTATCAGTTATTAAAAAAAGGCTGTGTGAATTGCAACTCACGTCGTTGGAGGATACAAGAGTAAGGGGAGACATGATTACCACATAAAAAATTCTCAGGCGAATTCACAGGGTAGATGAAAACAGACTGTTTAACTCGGGTGGTACTCACACAAGGGGACACAGGTGGAAACCGAGTACCCAAATGAGCCACGCAGACATTAGAAAGATTTTTTTCAGTGTCAGAGTTAAGAAATAGAATGCATTATGAAGTGATGTGGTGGAGGCAGACTCCATACATGGTTTCAAAAGTAGATATGACAGAGCCCAGTAGACATAGGAACTAGTACACCAGTTGACCGAATGTTAAGAGGCGGGACCAAAGAGTGGAAGCTCAACCCCCGCTGGCACAACTAGGTGAGCACAGCACAAAACAAACTGGAAAACAAATTCATTGTCACCGGAGCGGGACAATAACAAGACAAAACCCCAACATTGTCACCGGAGCGGGACAATAACAAGACAAAACCCCAACATTGTCACCGGAGCGGGACAATAACAAGACAAAACCCCAACATTGTCACCGGAGCGGGACAATAACAAGACAAAACCCCAACATTGTCACCGGAGCGGGACAATAACAAGACAAAACCCCAACATTGTCACCGGAGCGGGACAATAACAAGACAAAACCCCAACATTGTCACCGGAGCGGGACAATAACAAGACAAAACCCCAACATTGTCACCGGAGCGGGACAATAACAAGACAAAATCCCAACATTAACTCTTGTAATCACGTATAGACAATGAACATTTAGTGGGAGTAATTGTGGGAGGGACGTGGACACCGAGGGGGAGAGAGGGAGGGAGAGAGGGGAGGGAGGGAGGGAGAGGGGAGGGAAGGAGGGAGAGAGGGAGGGAGGGAAGGAGGGAGGGAAGGGAGAGGGAGGGAGGGAAGGAGGGAGGGAGGGAGGGAGGGAAGGAGGGAGGGAAGGAGGGAGGGAAGGAGGGAGGGAGGGGAGAGGGGGAGGGAGGGAGGGAGGGAGGGAGGGAGGGAGGGAGGAGGGAGGGAAGGAAGGGAGAGAGGGAGGGAAGGAGGGAGAGAGGGAGGGAGGGAGGGAGGGAGGGAGGGAGGGAGGGAGAGGGAGGGAAGGAGGGAGGGAAGGAGGGAGAGGGAGGGAGGGAAGGAGGGAGGGAAGGGAGAGGGAGGGAGGGAAGGAGGGAGGGAAGGAGGGAGGGAAGGAGGGAGGGAAGGAGGGAGGGAAGGAGGGAGAGGGAGGGAGGGAAGGAGGGAGGGAAGGAGAGAGGAGGGAGGGAAGGGAGGGAAGGAGGGAGGGAAGGAGGGAGGGAAGGAGGGAGGGAAGGAGGGAGAGGGAGGGAGGGAAGGAGGGAGGGAAGGGAGAGGGAGGGAGGGAAGGAGGGAGGGAAGGAGGGAGAGAGGGAGGGAGGGAGGGAGAGAGGGAGGGAAGGAGGGAGGGAGACCGGGAGGGAGGGAGGGGAGGGAGGAGGGAGGGAGGGACCGGGGGAGGGAGGGAGGGAGGGGAGGGAGGGAGGGAGGGAGGGAGGGAGGGAAGGAGGGAGAGGGGAGGGGGGGAAGGAGGGAGGGAAGGAGAGGGAGGGAGGGAAGGAGGGAGGGAAGGAGACCGGAGGGAGGGAATGAGGGAGGGAATGGAGGGAGGGAGGGAGGGAGAGGGAGGGAAGGAGGGAGACCGGGATGGAGGGAAGGAGGGAGGGAATGAGGGGGGAATGAGGGAGGGAGAGGGGAGGGAGGGGGAGACCGGGATGGAGGGAAGGAGGGAGGGAGACCGGGATGGAGGGAAGGAGGGAGGGATATGGTATGAACAACATGGCCACACTGGATATACCTGGACTTCCTCACAGTGGAGGAGGAGAAGTATTCAAGTTGATGAAGGAGTACCTCTCAGAAGGAAAACAGAGCCGGTGCGAGAGCCAATCCAGTTTTCATTATGTGACAACTACTTGACAGTGGATATTAATCACTTCACATCAATGATTTCAGATTAAGTCAAACTAATAAACAGACTCAGAAGAAACTGGGATTGCAATACCCTGTAAGGAAAACTTGACACTCCAGAGGTGGTCGAATAAATGGCTTTAAGACTTTAACTCAGCTAAATGCAATGAGAATACAAACAGGAACAAGAAGTCCGCTATAAAACATACCGTGAGGGGGATCACCGAGCAGTAAATAGGTACCTGGGAGTTAGACAGCTGCTACGGGCTGCTTCCTGGGAATGTGTACCAAAAAGGAGGCCTGGTCGAGGACCGGGCCGCGAAGACGCTAAGCCCCGAAATCACTTCAAGATAACATGACAGCAACAAAATTCCAACGGGACTTGACCAAGCAGATAAAGAAGCAGTGTTTAAAGCTGGGAAATTCAGAACGAAGATCATGTACAGAAACTAGACGCAAATGAGTCACATAAACGCTAGACAGAATTGAGTTAAGAGTCGCCAACCATTTAAATAGATGAAGCTGAATCAATACACAATTATAAATGTGATAAGAAAAACGTGGTAGCGGTTGGGCCGTGAACCGAGGCTAGACCAAGGCGGCACGTGTAAGGGAGAGGAGCAAGGCGGCACGTGTAGGGGAGAGGAGCAAGGCGGCACGTGTAGGGAAGAGGGGCAAGGCGGCACGTGTAGGGAAGTGGGGCAAGGCGGCACGTGTAGGGAAGAGGAGCAAGGCGGCACGTGTAGGGGAGAGGAGCAAGGCGGCACGTGTAAGGGAGAGGAGCAAGGCGGCACGTGTAGGGGAGAGGAGCAAGGCGGCACGTGTAGGGAAGAGGGGCAAGGCGGCACGTGTAGGGAAGAGGGGCAAGGCGGCACGTGTAGGGGAGAGGGGCAAGGCGGCACGTGTAGGGGAGAGGAGCAAGGCGGCACGTGTAGGGAAGAGGGGCAAGGCGGCACGTGTAGGGAAGAGGAGCAAGGCGGCACGTGTAGGGAAGAGGGGCAAGGCGGCACGTGTAGGGAAGAGGGGCAAGGCGGCACGTGTAGGGAAGAGGGGCAAGGCGGCACGTGTAGGGAAGAGGGGCAAGGCGGCACGTGTAGGGAAGAGGGGCAAGGCGGCACGTGTAGGGGAGAGGGGCAAGGCGGCACGTGTAGGGGAGAGGGGCAAGGCGGCACGTGTAGGGGAGAGGGGCAAGGCGGCACGTGTAGGGGAGAGGGGCAAGGCGGCACGTGTAGGGGAAAGGAGCAAGGCGGCACATGTAGGGTAGTGGAGCAAGGCGGCACGTGTAGGGGAGAGGGGCAAGGCGGCACGTGTAGGGAAGAGGGGCAAGGCGGCACGTGTAGGGTAGTGGAGCAAGGCGGCACGTGTAGGGAAGAGGGGCAAGGCGGCACGTGTAGGGTAGTGGAGCAAGGCGGCACGTGTAGGGGAGAGGAGCAAGGCGGCACGTGTAGGAAGAGGGGCAAGGCGGCACGTGTAGGGAAGAGGGGCAAGGCGGCACGTGTAGGGTAGTGGAGCAAGGCGGCACGTGTAGGGAAGAGGGGGCAAGGCGGCACATGTAGGGTAGTGGAGCAAGGCGGCACGTGTAGGGAAGAGGGGCAAGGCGGCACGTGTAGGGAAGAGGGGCAAGGCGGCACGTGTAGGGGAGAGGAGCAAGGCGGCACGTGTAGGGAAGAGGGGCAAGGCGGCACGTGTAGGGGAGAGGAGCAAGGCGGCACGTGTAGGGGAGAGGGGCAAGGCGGCACGTGTAGGGAAGAGGGGCAAGGCGGCACGTGTAGGGAAGAGGGGGCAAGGCGGCACGTGTAGGGAAGAGGGGCAAGGCGGCACGTGTAGGGAAGAGGGGCAAGGCGGCACGTGTAGGGAAGAGGGGCAAGGCGGCACGTGTAGGGGAGAGGAGCAAGGCGGCACGTGTAGGGGAGAGGAGCAAGGCGGCACGTGTAGGGAAGAGGGCAAGGCGGCACGTGTAGGGTAGTGGAGCAAGGCGGCACGTGTAGGGAAGAGGGGCAAGGCGGCACGTGTAGGGAAAAGAGGGGCAAGGCGGCACGTGTAGGGAAGAGGGGCAAGGCGGCACGTGTAGGGAAGAGGGGCAAGGCGGCACGTGTAGGGAAGAGGGGCAAGGCGGCACGTGTAGGGCAGAGGGGCAAGGCGGCACGTGTAGGGAAGAGGGGCAAGGCGGCACGTGTAGGGGAGAGGAGCAAGGCGGCACGTGTAGGGGAGAGGAGCAAGGCGGCACGTGTAGGGGAGAGGGCAAGGCGGCACGTGTAGGGAAGAGGGGCAAGGCGGCACGTGTAGGGAAGAGGGGCAAGGCGGCACGTGTAGGGAAGAGGAGCAAGGCGGCACGTGTAGGGGAGAGGGGCAAGGCGGCACGTGTAGGAAAGAGGGGCAAGGCGGCACATGTAGGGTAGTGGAGCAAGGCGGCACGTGTAGGGAAGAGGACCAAGGCGGCACGTGTAGGGGAGAGGAGCAAGGCGGCACGTGTAGGGAAGAGGGGCAAGGCGGCACATGTAGGGTAGTGGAGCAAGGCGGCACGTGTAGGAAAGAGGGGCAAGGCGGCACATGTAGGGAAGAGGGGCAAGGCGGCACGTGTAGGGAAGAGGGGCAAGGCGGCACGTGTAGGGGAGAGGAGCAAGGCGGCACGTGTAGGGAAGAGGGGCAAGGCGGCACATGTAGGGTAGTGGAGCAAGGTGAGCACACACACTCTGGCCGCCCTCTGCACAAACTCACAACACACTCCCCAAATTACCATTTCCAACACATAAAACTGTCAAACTACGACACTAAAGCCCCGGAGAGGGAGGGAGGATAGGAATGGGAGAGAGGGGAGATGGGGAGGGGGGGAGAGGGAGGGGGGGAGAGGGAGAGGGAAAGGTAGGAGGGAGGGGAAAGGAAAAAGCACAAATTTGCAACCCCATCTCGAGGGAATTGCCAGGTGGTGCTGCTTCAAGTGTTGCCCTCATGTGCAACACTTGCCTTAAGTGTGAGCACTTACAGCTTTCCACCACTCCAACTTACCACCTACCTACATTATATATATATATATATATATATATATATATATATATATATATATATATATATATATATATATATATATATATATATATATATATATATATATATGTCGTACCTAGTAGCCAGAACGCACTTCTCAGCCTACTATGCAAGGCCGGATTTGCCTAATAAGCCAAGTTTTCCTGAATTAATATATTTTCTCTAATTTTTGTCTTATGAAATGATAAAGCTACCCATTTCATTATGTATGAGTCAATTTTTTTTATTAGTAAAATTAACGTAGATATATGACCGAACCTAACCAACCCTACCTAACCTAACCTAACCTATCTTTATAAGTCAGGTTTGGTTAGGTAACCGAAAAAGTTAGGTTAGGTTAGGTAGGTTAGGTAGTCGAAAAACATATTAATTCATGAAAACTTGGTTTATTAGGCAAATCGGGCCTTGCATAGTAGGCAGAGAAGTGCGTTCTGGCTACTAGGTACGACATATATATAAATATATATATATATATATATAATGCATGTAATGTCTGTACATTCCTCTCTGGCCAAATGACAGGAGGAAATTAATGATATTGTCCAATTTCCCGTCACCTGTCCAGGCACGACAGACACCCCGACGGTCCTTAATACACTGTTCACCGTCGCTGTTCTCACCAACCACCTTGTTGCCTCCAGCCTTCACTACTGTGTGTGTGGTATGTTCACTACTGTGTGTGTGGTATGTTTGTCTGTTCATGGTATGCAGAGTTTTTTTGCATGTGATTGATTCAGTACGGTGTACAGGTAGGGCTGGGTACGTGATGTACTCAGTACGGTGTACAGGTAGGGCTGGGTACGTGATGTACTCAGTGCGGTGTACAGGTAGGGCTGAGTACGTGATGTACTCAGTGCGGTGTACAGGTAGGGCTGAGTACGCGATGTACTTAGTGCGGTGTACAGGTAGGGCTGAGTACGTGATGTACTCAGTGCGGTGTAAGAGTGCGGACGAGTTCCTCCACCCACCACATTCACCAGGGCACTAGGAGACTCGAACCATGAACCCAGGCGTGTGTGAGGCCGGAGCGCCATCGCCGTGTGATGGGTTGTGTTACGGGGAAGGGCTGACCAGCTCTGCACTAGCAGCAGCTCCCGCTAACATGTCCAAATTGTGTTCTGGGACAAACGAGGCTCTGAAATTTCTCTTCCATTCTCCACAAAGCAACACTTAACACCAACACACCATACGTGTGTTCACACATGATGTTCAGATGAACACATATGTTCATGACTAAGTTCGGGAGAAGAACAGAGGTGTTCACGAGTAAGGTGTGATGGGTTAATTATGAACATAATTATCTGGACGATGAACAAACAAGAATTTTTGTGGTTTTAATATTTTCGAAGAGTAAAGTTGTCCATCAATCATGGTTTTCAACATGATTTTTTTTTGTTATCAGAAAATTGATGTACATATATGTAGGTGAGCATGTAGTAGTTTATGTAATGGTGGTGGCGGGGTGGGGGGGGGGGGGCTGCTGCTGGCACCAAGTACCTTGTGTCAGGTACTTGGTGCGTACCTTAGCTTGTGTAAGGTACCATATGGTACCTTAAGGTACCTTGTGTAAGGCGTCCTTGAAGGTGTGGAGTACCTTAGCGTCACGTGGTCCAAGTCTCTACGGAGGGGTTCACACCCCCGTCACACATCACTGTTAGCAGTGTGCACCTGTGAACATGTGTACAACCTGTGTACCTGTGTGTGTCCAGCTTGTGTATAGTGTCCCTGTATCTCGTGCTACAAGTGTATCTCCTCCGCTTCTCCTCTCCATATATACCATCCTCACAAGTCACAGGTCTACTACCTACTACGACTCTCATACTGAACTCTAGTCCTCAAGAGCTGGTGTGTAAAGCGTTCTCAAGTAGTTCATATTTAGCTTCTTAAAAGTTGTTGTTATATCGGCTAGCTTTGCATATAGCTGCTGCCTTTGTCACGGGTATATGGTGTTTCTTCCTCACGATCTAAGGTGTCCTTATGCTGGTAGGTAAGTGTCGGGCGCCCACGCCAGGTGTTCCGCCACACACCTGCCCCACACTGCTCTAACTCCGCCACACACCTGCCCCACACTGCTCTAACTCCGCCACTACCCACCTAGATGGCACAACTTGATGTTACATGATAGAACTAAAATCTCAGTATGACTCTTGAGTCACTTTCTGGGCGGGTTAACGGGATAGTTGATGCGTGTACTCAGGTCGTGGACGGCCTCCGTCCATGCAACTCCGTCCCTTCCTAGCCTCGCTCTGCCTGTCACCTCGAACACAATAATCTGCAATTATTGTAACGACAATCCAGTCGTTACGTGGCCGGCCCACCTCTCCTGTGGCCGGCCCACCTCTCCTGTGGCCGGCCCACCTCTCCTGTGGCCGGCCCACCTCTCCTGTGGCCGGCCCACCTCTCCTGTGGCCGGCCTACCTCTCCTGTGGCCGGCCCACCTCTACTACTGTGACGTGGCCGGCCCACCTCTACTACGGTGACGGCCCACCTCTTTCCTTGACTTTCCCATCCTCCTGCTCCTCCTCCTAACTCCCCCCCCTTAAGCACCGCCACACACACACACACAGACACACAGACAGACAGACAGACAGAGACAGAGACAGACAGAGACAGACAGAGACAGACAGAGACAGACAGAGACAGACAGAGACAGAGACAGAGACAGACACAGAGACAGAGACAGAGACAGAGACAGAGACAGAGACAGAGACAGACAGACAGACAGACAGACAGACAGACAGACAGACAGACAGACAGACAGACACACACACACACACACACACACACACACACACACACAGACACACAGACAGACAGACAGACAGAGACAGAGACAGACAGAGACAGACAGAGACAGACAGAGACAGACAGAGACAGACAGAGACAGAGACAGAGACAGAGACAGAGACAGAGACAGAGACAGAGACAGAGACAGACAGACAGACAGACAGACAGACAGACAGACAGACAGACAGACAGACAGACAGACAGACAGACAGACACACACACACACACACACACACACACACACACACACACACACACACACACACACACCCCTCCCTCGGGGCCAAGAGTATCCATCTCCTGTTTAATTAAAACCTGCCCAGATGGATTTCTTTCATGTCCCATAAAACTCAGCAAATAGACAAAGTTGGCGCTTGTCTGGGAACAGTTTTGATATTCTCGTGCCGCCAAGAGGCGACCTGAGTGGTGGACACATTAATGGTCTTGTTAGGGAGAGTCATGCCACACGTGTTGACACATGCTGACACATACTTGCCACAAACTACAGGGGAGAATGACACATAGTTCACAGCCTCCAGTGAAGAACTGATACAATGCAGATGATGAGTCACAATAACGTGGCTGAAATATGTTGACCAGACCACACACTAGAAAATGAAGGGACGACGACGTTTCGGTCCGTCCTGGACCATTCTCGACTTGAGAATGGTCCAGGACGGACCGAAACGTCGTCGTCCCTTCACCTTCTAGTGTGTGTTGTGGTCAAGTGATACAATATTCTTGAATTGCCCGTGTACCACATCACAGCAATTATAGTAATAAGATCTTAGGTCAAACATCACGGTCAAAGAACTAGAGGCGCAGCGGAAGCTGTTCAATGTTCACAATGTGTGTGAACATAATGTTGAAGTCATTGTTCACACATACCTTCCAGGCATGTAGTGAGTGCATACAGCATCACATGAGTGGATGAGGTACCATGTGAGTGGATGAGGTACCATGTGAGTGGATGAGGTACCATGTGAGTGGATGAGGTACCATGTGAGTGGATGAGGTACCATGTGAGTGGATGAGGTACCATGTGAGTGGATGAGGTACCATGTGAGTGGATGAGGTACCATATGAGTGGATGAGGTACCATATGAGAGTACGATATAAGCTCCCACGGTTATGGAGATGTTAGTTTTCTGTAGTATACCAAGATACCCTTCATGACCCTGTAGTATACCAACATACCCTTCAGCAACCCTGGGGGTGAGAGAAGTTAATATATGCAAAATAGAAACTCATGATGTGAATGAGAAAGAACTGAGACACATAAAGGAGTCTCCCTGTGAGTGGACACTGAGGAAGACAATGAGAGCGAGCACGCCAAATGAGGAGAGGGACTCGCCTCATGAATATCACAATGGTAATGAGGTTGGTGAGAATGGTGGCAAGCAAACAAGGGAGGGGAATGGGGAGGCGCTCCCCAATGGGTGTGTTGACGTGTGGGAAAAGGGTGACACAATTTGGGGCCGTGTGCAGGGGAGAAGCCCAAGTGGAACTGGGCGAAGGAGAAGATGAAAAGTACAAGAAGGTTGAAGAGTACAAGAAGACAATAGGATCCAAACACACACAGAGATCACACTAACGTGATGCATGAAATGAACAAATTTACCCTGTCTTTTACCCTGTCGTAGCTCCGTCGATTAAGGCAGTGTCTGGGATGCTCCCGGACGCAGGTTCGAATCCTCGTCACGGCCCTTGTGGATTTGTTAATAGGATCCAAAACCTGTACTGGCGTGATCACCAGGGGCCAGATTCACGAAAGCACTTACACAAGCACTTACGAACGAGTACATCTTTCCTCAATCTTTGACGGCTTTGGTTACATTTATTAAACAGTTTACAAGCATGAAAACTTGACAATTAACTGTTGTTATTGTTATAAACAGCCTCCTGGTGCTTCGGAGCTCATTAACTGTTTAATAATTGGAAACAAAGCCGCCAAAGATTGAGAAAAGATGTACAGGCTCGTAAGTGCTTGCGTAAGTGCTTTCGTGAATCCGGCTCTAGGGCATTAAAGTCACCTCACACACCTCCGGCCTATCGTACATAAACCTCAAAATTACACATCTCATTTTCCTTAGGATAGGTTAGGATGGGGTTAGGTTAGGTTGGGTTAGATTAAGTTAGGATAAGGTTGGTTGGGTTGGAGTTGTTTATGATGATGTAAGGAGGTACTTATTTTGTGCAGGTGTTGAACACAAGTGACCTACAGACCAGTATCACTGGCAAGCATCTGCTGTAAGGTACTCTAAAGGATAATATGGATAAGACTAGATCAACAACTGCAGAGGATCAGATATGTAAACAAACACCAACTTGCCTTCACGGAGATCTTGCCTAACAACTTACTGGAGTTCTATGACAAAGTAACAAATATAAGAAAAGACGGAGGTATTTCTGTCAAAAATCTTGTACCACAGTTCCAGATAAGACACTTGTGCTACAACTTGAGAGCCAGAGAGGACGGAGTGTCAGAGAGGGATCAGAGTGTCAGAGTGAGGGGCGAGAAGTGAGACAGGCGGAGACAGCAAGCGGAATACTAAGGGATCGGTGTTGGGACCCATACGATCTCGGTAATATTAATGACTTACGTGCGTTGAACCCTGAATGTCGGTGATAGTAGATGATGCAAAGTCACCGATAAGAGTCAGGACAGCTGCTCAATATAACATTCTCCAAGATGACTTAATCAAGGTGCAGAGTTGACCGAAAAATGGCTACTGGAGTTCAACACCAGTAAGTACAAGGTGATGATAAAGTGGAGAGGAGCCAGGAGACCAAAAGGACAGCACGAATGACGTGAAACTACCTCCGTATAACGACGAGAGAAAAAGCACTGGGAGAAATCAACACCAAACTACCTCCGGACACTCGTTAAGAATAATGTTAGCAGAAACACTAGAAAAAAACTCAAAACATCATTCAGGAAGATAACTAAGAAGACATTTAGATCACTGTGTGCCACCTACATGAGACCAGGTTTAAAGAATGCTGCCCCATCATGGAGGCCCCACCTAAAAAAAAAAACTCTGAAAACGTTCAGAACTTTGCAACAAGGCTCCATCCAGAATTGAGAAGCATAGGGAATGAAGACAGGCTGAAGGAACTAAACCTAACAAGGCAAGGAAAGAGGAGAGGGGGACATGATAGACACGTATAAAATACGTATGAGCTTGACAGTGGGGAAAAAGAGGAATTGTTCACAATAAATACCACTAGAAGGCGAGGGCATGGATGGAAGTTTGAGACAAAGACGAGTCGTAGAGATGGAGATATTAACACGTTTTATTTTAGCGTATGAGTTGTGGGAAAATGGATTGAACTAAAGGAGCAGGTTGTGGCAGCGAACTCTGTTCATAACTTGAAACTTGGATATGTTACGGAAACAGGTCACGAGTCATTCCATTAAACAGCCGGCTGATAGAAAAGCGGTGTCTAAGAGCTAATGCTCGATCCTGCAGGCAGGCACACACACACACACACACACACACACACACACACACACACACACACACACACACACACACACACACACACACACACACACACACACTCGGAAAGCCTTTGACACGTACCGCATAAGAGGCTGGTACATAAGCTGGAGAGACAGGCAGGTGTAGCTGGTAAGGTGCTCCAGTGGATAAGGGAGTATCTAAGCAATAGGAAGCAGAGAGTTACAGTGAGGGGTGAGACCTCCGATTGGCGTGAAGTCACCAGTGGAGTCCCACAGGGCTCTGTACTCGGTCCTATCTTGTTTCTGATATATGTAAATGATCTCCCGGAGGGTATCGATTCATTTCTCTCAATGTTTGCGGACGATGCTAAAATTATGAGAAGGATTAAAACAGAAGAGGACTGCTTGAGGCTTCAAGAAGACCTAGACAAGCTGAAGGAATGGTCGAACAAATGGTTGTTAGAGTTTAACCCAACCAAATGTAATGTAATGAAGATAGGTGTAGGGAGCAGGAGGCCAGATACAAGGTATCATCTGGGAGAGGAAATTCTTCAGGAGTCAGAGAAGGAAAAAGACTTGGGGGTTGATATCACGCCAGACCTGTCCCCTGCAGCACACATCAAGCGGATAACATCAGCGGCATATGCCAGGCTGGCCAACATACGAACGGCATTCAGAAACTTGTGTAAAGAATCATTCAGAACTTTGTATACCACATATGTCAGGCCAATCCTGGAGTATGCAGCCCCAGCATGGAGTCCATATCTAGTCAAGGATAAGACTAAACTGGAAAAGATTCAAAGGTTTGCCACCAGACTAGTACCCGAGCTGAGGGGTATGAGCTACGAGGAGAGACTACGGGAATTAAACCTCACTTCGCTGGAAGACAAAAGAGTTAGGGGGGACATGATCACCACATTCAAGATTCTGAAGGGGATTGATAGGGTAGATAAAGACAGTCTATTTAACACAAGGGGAACACGCACAAGGGGACACAGGTGGAAACTGAGTGCCCAAATGAGCCACAGAGATATTAGAAAGAACTTTTTTAGTGTCAGAGTGGTTGACAAATGGAATGCATTAGGCAGTGATGTGGTGGAGGCTGACTCCATTCACAGTTTCAAGTGCAGATATGACAGAGCCCGATAGGCTCAGGAATCTGTACACCTGTTGATTGACGGTTGAGAGGCGGGACCAAAGAGCCAGAGCTCAACCCCCGCTAACACAACTAGGTGAGTACAACTAGGTGAGTACACCCACACCCACACACACACACACACACACACACACACACACACACACACACACACACACACACACACACACACACACACACACACACCATCGCCTGCTCACAAATATGTTCATCGTTCGTCACCTCACCATAAAACACCTCACACGAGGCTAGGATGATCTAGCGACGGTGAACTACCAAGCGGGAACACCGTCAGTGGCCAACAACCAAACAAAGGAGACAGTGATCACTTCCAGGGTACACACACTCTTGAAGGTGAACTGTGACGCCGCACCCCCTCCCCCCTCCAACCCGCTCACCCGCCCCCCACTCCTACCCGCAGACCGCACCCCCCCCCCACTCCTACCCGCAGACCGCACTCCCCCCCCCCCCCACGCCAGCACTGGTCAGCGGGTGGGCGCCTGGTGGCTGAGTGGATAGCACTCAGTACTCGTAATGCTGTGTACCTGAGTTTAATCCCCGGCGATGGAGGAGAACAAAGGCGTATAGTTTTTTCACCCTTGAGCCCTTGTTACCTAGCAGTAAATTCGTAACTGGGAGTTAGACAGCTGTTACGGGCTGCTTCCTGTGTGTGTGTGTGTGTGTGTGTGTGTGTGTGTGTGTGTGTGTGTGTGTGTGTGTGTGTGTGTGTGTGTGTGTAGGGGGGGGGGGGCGACGGCAGGGTTCAAGGTGATATGTCGATTAGGTTCCACAGATCACAGCCGAGAGAGCCGTGTTCAAGGGGGAGTGGCCTTGCCATCTTCTTCGGCTATATTTAGTACAGGATTCCCAGGGATGGGGGGGGGGAGGGGGGCTACACCCCCCTCCCCGTCGGTGTTTAAAGTGATGGTTGGGGGGGGGGGGTGACCGGCGCCTGTGTCGGCCTCCCTCCTGTGTTGTCACGCCCAGTGACGTGCTGGGTAGTGAGGCACTCTGCCTCACCTGGCACCCTGCCTCACTTGGCACCCTGCCTCACTTGGCACCCTGCCTCACTTGGCACCCTGCCTCACCTGGCACTCTGCCTCACTTGGCACCCTGCCTCACTTGGCACCCTGCCTCACCTGGCACTGCCTCAGTTGGCAGTGTGGGACCCCACCACTACTGGTCCCACATGGACCAGTACGAATCTTGATAATCTTGCACGTGTCAGTGTTAAATTCCAATAGCCATCACCTTCCATTAAGTGTGGGTGCACTCTCCTCACCTGGATGCGCCTCCTCAGTTGAACATTAGCTCGTTATCTTTGCACTTTCAGCACTCGGTGATTATTGCAATAATTATCTTAATACACGAAACATCTGATATGTCTTGCAACTGCGGACTGAGTTTGCTTCACCAACTTACCTTTAACCTGTTTCATTTATTTACGATAAACTTTCTGCCTTGTGTGCTACCTTATTCAATCTTGTGTTGATGATATCCTCATAATGCACCCAGAGTCTGCCAGTGCAGACCGCTTATCACATGCCTCTGTATGACTAACCATCCTGTGTGATGGGGATTTTTTAGCATCACCTAGTTAGCTTTTTTGACACACTGTACTCCACTTCATATAGTCTAGGGCAGCTGCACTAATGCACATGTACCTAATATGTTAATAAAAAAAAATAAAAAAAATCTGCCTTGTGTGTGACGCATCTGCGTCTCCACTGTCCACTAACGTCTAGTCGTTCCACTTTTTAACATTATAATTATTGGTTGTTTACCCAAGTTGTAGATGCGACTTAAATTGTTGCGGGTGGGAACATACCTGCAGCCTGTGGTACCCTCTCTGTGACCCACTGTTTCCTGTCTGTAAGGTATGCCCATAAATACATCAACATATGCCCTAATATCACACCTTGCCTTTCTATATTTATTTATGTATTTATTTATTTATATACAAGAAGGTACATTGGGTTTGTGAGAATACATAGCATAGTATTTACAATCTTGTAAAGCCACTAGTACGCGCAGCGTTTCTGGCAGGTCCTTAATCTAACAGATAATTTTAAGTAGGTAAATTCTAGCAAAATTTATAAAATTATAACAAATACATTGAAGAAAAAAAAATATTATTCTTTTATATTATTCACTATATTATTCCTGTATTATGCACTAAGTTTAGGGGGAAAGTATCAAATTATCTTTGATAATTAAGGACATTACAATCTAGGTCACACCCCATTTGTCTGACTGCATGCTGGCAACACTGTCATAGACCTCTGACATGTCTGTCAGGCATGATCTTACGATGGTAACACTGCGCTACTCTCTGTCTCAAGGTATTCACAACACCTTGAGTGAGCGACTGATGTTGGTGTTGCGTCTTGTGAGTCTGTAACACTGTGTTTAGGGCACCGAGGTTATCGAGAACTGTGCGTATGGAGCCTTAAGGTGTGTACTCACCTAGTTGTGCTTGCGGGGGTTGAACTCTGGCGCTTTAGTCCCGCCTCTCAACCGTCAATCAACTGATGTACAGGTTCCTGAGCCTACTGGGCTCTATCATATCTACACTTGAAACTGTGTATGGAGTCAGCCTCCACCACATCACTGCTTAATACATTCGATTTGTCAACTACTCTGACACTAAAAAAGTTCTTTCTAATATCTCTGTGGCTCATTTGGGCACTCAGTTTCCACCTGTGTCCCCTAGTGCGTGTGCCCCTTGTGTTAAATAGCCTGTCATTATCTACCCCTATCAATTCCTTTAAGAATCTTGTATGTGGTGATCGCGTGCATGTGTGCGTGCGTATGTGCGTGCGTGACCCGGTCTTTAACTCTCATTGTCACTCCTCCCCGTCCCCCCATCCTTCACTAACTGGTTCACACAACTCAGTCAGCGGTTGACCACATTGATTGTGGGTTGTGAGGGTGCAGAGTGTGGACCACACTGCCCCACGAGTGAGAGTGGCGGCCATCTTCCTCCCATTATGGGCACACCCGCCCTCACCTGTGACCACGTGCTCCAGTCCTCACACCTGTGACCACGTGCTCCAGTCCTCACACCTGTGACCACGTGCTCCAGTCCTCACACCCGTGACCACGTGCTCCAGTCCTCACACCTGCGGCCTCACCTCCACCCTCGTGTCTCAACACCTGTAGCAAGTATCCTTCACAGCTTGTGCTCACTGCTCACCACAACAGTCTTATCTCCTTTTCCTCTCAAGTGCTCTTCCTCCTCCCCCCCTTCTCTCCTACCCAGCTGTCTCCCCGCCCCCCCCCCCTCGGCCCAATTTGGAACCGTTCTGGGTCCTCTTTAAATTGACCTTGGCCCTCCCCCCCCCCTGGCCCTGTTCCTCCTCCTCCTCCTCCTCACCACTCTGGACGCGTCCTGCTCTCTCTCCCTTTAAATCCCATCTTGTTACACAATAATGAGAACGCTCACTCCCTTCCCAGCAAGCTCTCACTTTGTTTGTTGTGTGTATGTGTGAGTGTGTGTGTGAGTGTGTGTGTGAGTGTGTGTGTGTGTGTGGGGGGGGGTGTGTGTGTGTGTGTGAGAGAGTGTGTGTGTGTGTGTGGGGGGGGTGTGTGTGTGGGGGGGGGGGGTGTGTGTGTGTGTGGGGGGGGGTGTGTGTGTGTGTGAGAGTGTACTCACCTAGTTGTACTCACCTAGTTGTGTTTGCGGGGGTTGAGCTCTGGCTCTTTGGTCCCGCCTCTCAACCGTCAATCAACAGGTGTACAGATTCCTGAGCCTATCGGGCTCTGTCATATCTACACTTGAAACTGTGTATGGAGTGAGCCTCCACCACATCACCCCCTAATGCATTCCATTTGTCAACCACTCTGACACTAAAAAAGTTCTTTCTAATATCTCTGTGGCTCATTTGGGCACTCAGTTTCCACCTGTGTCCCCTTGTGCGTGTTCCCCTTGTGTTAAATAGACTGTCTTTATCTACCCTATCAATCCCCTTCAGAATCTTGAATGTGGTGATCATGTCCCCCCTAACTCTTCTGTCTTCCAGCGAAGTGAGGTTTAATTCCCGTAGTCTCTCCTCGTAGCTCATACCTCTCAGCTCGGGTACTAGTCTGGTGGCAAACCTTTGAACCTTTTCCAGTTTAGTCTTATCCTTGACTAGATATGGACTCCATGCTGGGGCTGCATACTCCAGGATTGGCCTGACATATGTGGTATACAAAGTTCTGAATGATTCTTTACACAAGTTTCTGAATGCCGTGTGTGTGTGTGTGTGTGTGTGTGGGGGGGTGTGTGTGTGTGTGGGGGGGTGTGTGTGTGTGTGTGTGTGTGTGTGTGTGTGTGTGTGTGTGTGTGTGTGTGTGTGTGTGTGTGTGTGTGTGTGTGTGTGTGTGTGTGTGTGTGTGTGTGTGTGTGTGTGTGTGTGTGTGTACTCACCTAGTTGTGTTTGCGGGGGTTGAGCTCTGGCTCTTTGGTCCCGCCTCTCAACTGTCAATCAACAGGTGTACAGATTCCTGAAATCACACACACACACACACACCTGTGTGTGTGTGTGTTTGTGTGTATGTGTGGGTGTGTGTGTCCAGCCCAGCCTCCTGTTGTGGTAGTACTTACAGTAACGTTGAGGACCATAGTATATATATATACCCACCTACCATGAAATTAAAGTAGAAATCTGAACTATTGAGTTGGACAAACCGGAAAACTATTTTTACTTATGTTGCAAAGACAAACTAACCTAACCTTCCTAGACCTAATACACGATATCTGAGACTAATATAGTACATATGTGTGCTATACTAGGCCTAGGAATGTTTATGTTTAAGTGTTTACCTTCATTTATTTTAAAATAATTCCTTACTAGTCAGTACACTAATATCTAAAAGCTGAGAACGTACGAATTATGACTATTGTCGACAGTCACAATAGGTACTGTCTAAACAGGAGGATGGGTGTGTGTGTGTGTACTCACCTATTTGTACTCGCCTAGTTGTGTTTGCGGAGGTTGAGCTCTGGCTCTTTGGTCCCGCCTCTCAACTGTGTGCGTGTGCGTGTGCGTGTGTGTGTGTGTATGTGTGTGTGTATGTGTGTGTGTATGTGTGTGTGTGTGTGTGTATTCACCTAGTTGTATTCACCTAGTTGTGTTTGCGGGGGTTGAGCTTTGCTCTTTCGGCCCGCCTCTCAACTGTCAATCAACTGTTTACTAACTACTTTCCCCCCCCCCCCCACACACACACCCAAGGAAGCAGCCCGTGACAGCTGACTAACTCCCAGGTACCTATTTACTGGTAGGTAACAGGGGTATTCAGGGCGAAAGAAACTTTGCCCATTCGTTTCTGCCTCGTGCGGGAATCGAACCCGCGCCACAGAATTACGAGTCCTGCGCGTTATCCACCAGGCTACGAGGCCCTCATGCGTGCGTGCGTGTGCGTGTGCGTGTGTGTGTGTGTGTGTGTGTGTGTGTGTGTGTGTGTGTGTGTGTGTGTGTGTGTGTGTGTGTGTGTGTGTGTGTGTGTGTGCGTGTGCGTGTGTGCGTGTGTGCGTGTGTGTGTCGACGCTGCCACACTAGTAACCAGGTTGTCCCGTCACGATGCCATTAACCCCCTCCACTGCCCATGACTCGCTCCCAGCTCACCTTTAACGTTCATCACCACGGTTTTTAGCTCGCTATTTTAGGCCGTGAGTTACAGCCGGAGAAGCTCGGGGCAAGACCGTGCCTTCCACCACTGTTTACAGAGGGTCTCCCGGTGGTGCCACGTCACCGTCCCGCCAGTGATCGTGACGTGGGCAGCGTTGCCACGTCGCCATACTGGAGAGTTATGGTCGCCTCCACGCCTGTCCTCGCACCTCCACGCCTGTCCTCGCACCTCCACGCCTGTCCTCGCACCTCCACGCCTGTCCTCGCACCTCCACGCCTGTCCCTCGCACCTCCACGCCTGTCCTCGCACCTCCACGCCTGTCCTCGCACCTCCACGCCTGTCCCTCGCACCTCCACGCCTGTCCACCCTCCTCGCACCTCCACGCCTGTCCTCGCACCTCCACGCCTGTCCTCGCACCTCCACGCCTGTCCCTCGCACCTCCACGCCTGTCCTCGCACCTCCACGCCTGTCCTCGCACCCTCCACGCCTCCTCGCACCTCCACGCCTGTCCTCGCACCTCCACGCCTGTCCTCGCACCTCCACGCCTGTCCTCGCACCTCCACGCCTGTCCCTCGCACCTCCACCTCCACGCCTGTCCTCGCCTGTCCCTCGCACCTCCACGCCTGTCCCTCGCACCTCCACGCCTGTCCCTCGCACCTCCACGCCTGTCCCTCGCACCTCCACGCCTGTCCCTCGCACCTCCACGCCTGTCCCTCGCACCTCCACGCCTGTCCCTCGCACGCCTGTCCCTCGCACCTCCACGCCTGTCCTCGCACCTCCACGCCTGTCCTCGCACCTCCACGCCTGTCCTCGCACCTCCACGCCTGTCCCTCGCACCTCCACGCCTGTCCCTCGCACCTCCACACCTGTCCACGCCTGTCCTCGCACCTCCACGCACCTCCACGCCTGTCCTCGCACCTCCACGCCTGTCCCTCGCACCTCCACGCCTGTCCCTCGCACCTCCACGCCTGTCCCTCGCACCTCCACGCCTGTCCCTCGCACCTCCACGCCTGTCCCTCGCACCTCCACGCCTGTCCCTCGCACCTCCACGCCTGTCCCTCGCACCTCCACGCCTGTCCCTCGCACCTCCACGCCTGTCCCTCGCACCTCCACGCCTGTCCCTCGCACCTCCACGCCTGTCCTCGCACCTCCACGCCTGTCCCTCGCACCTCCACGCCTGTCCCTCGCACCTCCACGCCTGTCCTCGCACCTCCACGCCTGTCCTCGCACCTCCACGCCTGTCCTCGCACCTCCACGCCTGTCCTCGCACCTCCACGCCTGTCCTCGCACCTCCACGCCTGTCCTCGCACCTCCACGCCTGTCCCTCGCACCTCCACGCCTGTCCCTCGCACCTCCACGCCTGTCCCTCGCACCTCCACGCCTGTCCCTCGCACCTCCACGCCTGTCCCTCGCACCTCCACGCCTGTCCCTCGCACCTCGCACCTCCGCCTGTCCTCGCACCTCCACGCCTGTCCTCGCACCTCCACGCCTGTCCCTCGCACCTCCACGCCTGTCCCTCGCACCTCCACGCCTGTCCTCGCACCTCCACGCCTGTCCCTCGCACCTCCACGCCTGTCCCTCGCACCTCCACGCCTGTCCCTCGCACCTCCACGCCTGTCCCTCGCACCTCCACGCCTGTCCCTCGCACCTCCACGCCTGTCCCTCGCACCTCCACGCCTGTCCCTCGCACCTCCACGCCTGTCCCTCGCACCTCCACGCCTGTCCTCGCACCTCCACGCCTGTCCTCGCACCTCCACGCCTGTCCTCGCACCTCCACGCCTGTCCTCGCACCTCCACGCCTGTCCTCGCACCTCCACGCCTGTCCTCGCACCTCCACGCCTCCACGCCTGTCCTCGCACCTCCACGCCTGTCCTCGCACCTCCACGCCTGTCCCTCGCACCTCCACGCCTGTCCCTCGCACCTCCACGCCTGTCCTCGCACCTCCACGCCTGTCCTCGCACCTCCACGCCTGTCCTCGCACCTCCACGCCTGTCCTCGCACCTCCACGCCTGTCCTCGCACCTCCACGCCTGTCCTCGCACCTCCACGCCTGTCCTCGCACCTCCACGCCTGTCCTCGCACCTCCACGCCTGTCCTCGCACCTCCACGCCTGTCCTCGCACCTCCACGCCTGTCCCTCGCACCTCCACGCCTGTCCTCGCACCTCCACGCCTGTCCTCGCACCTCCACGCCTGTCCTCGCACCTCCACGCCTGTCCCTCACACCTTCACGCCTGTCCTCGCACCTCCACGCCTGTCCTCGCACCTCCACGCCTGTCCCTCGCACCTCCACGCCTGTCCCTCGCACCTCCACGCCTGTCCCTCGCACCTCCACACCTGTCCTCGCACCTCCACGCCTGTCCCTCGCACCTCCACGCCTGTCCTCACACCTCCACGCCTGTCCTCGCACCTCCACGCCTGTCCCTCGCACCTCCACGCCTGTCCTCGCACCTCCACGCCTGTCCTCGCACCTCCACGCCTGTCCTCGCACCTCCACGCCTGTCCTCGCACCTCCACGCCTGTCCCTCGCACCTCCACGCCTGTCCTCGCACCTCCACGCCTGTCCCTCGCACCTCCACGCCTGTCCCTCGCACCTCCACGCCTGTCCCTCGCACCTCCACGCCTGTCCTCGCACCTCCACGCCTGTCCTCGCACCTCCACGCCTGTCCCTCGCACCTCCACGCCTGTCCTCGCACCTCCACGCCTGTCCTCGCACCTCCACGCCTGTCCTCGCACCTCCACGCCTGTCCTCGCACCTCCACGCCTGTCCTCTCAAACACATGCCATTCTGTAACACTTAAGTCATTGGGAAAAAATGCGGTTAGGTTGAATGGTTTTAAAATCGTCAACCATACACCAGCCACCATAGTCTACCACCACCACCACAGTCACCACCATACACCAGCCACCATAGTCTACCACCACCACCACAGTGACCACCATACACCAGCCACCATAGTCTACTACCACCACCACAGTGACCACCATACCCAGCCACCATAGTCTACCACCACCACCACAGTGACCACCATACCCAGCCACCATAGTCTACCACCACCACCACAGTGACCACCATACCCAGCCACCATAGTCCACCACCACCACCATACCCAGCCACCATAGTCTACCACCACCACCACAGTCACCACCATACCCAGCCACCATAGTCTACCACCACCACCACAGTCACCACCATACCCAGCCACCATAGTCTACCACCACCACCACAGTGACCACCATACCCAGCCACCATAGTCCACCACCACCACCACAGTCACCACCATACCCAGCCACTATAGTCTACCACCACCACCACAGTCACCACCATACCCAGCCACCATAGTCTACCACCACCACAGTCACCACCATACCCAGCCACCATAGTGTACCACCACCACAGTGACCACCATACCCAGCCACCATAGTCCAACACCACCACCACAGTCACCACCATACCCAGCCACCATAGTGTACCACCACCACAGTGACCACCATACCCAGCCACCATAGTCCACCACCACCACCACAGTCACCACCATACCCAGCCACCATAGTCTACCACCATACCCAGCCACCATAGTCCACCACCACCACCACAGTCACCACCATACCCAGCCACCATAGTGTACCACCACCATCACAGTCACCACCATACCCAGCCACCATAGTCCAACACCACCACCACAGTGACCACCATACCCAGCCACCATAGTCCACCACCACAGTCACCACCATACCCAGCCACCATAGTCTACCACCACCACAGTGACCACCATACCCAGCCACCATAGTCCACCACCACCACCACAGTCACCACCATACCCAGCCACCATAGTCTACCACCACCACCACAGTCACCACCATACCCAGCCACCATAGTGTACCACCACCACAGTGACCACCATACCCAGCCACCATAGTCCACCACCACCACCACAGTCACCACCATACCCAGCCACCATAGTCTACCACCACCACAGTCACCACCATACCCAGCCACCATAGTGTACCACCACCACAGTGACCACCATACCCAGCCACCATAGTCCAACACTACCACCACAGTCACCACCATACCCAGCCACCATAGTCTACCACCACCACAGTCACCACCATACCCAGCCACCATAATCTACCACCACCACCACAGTCACCACCATACCCAGCCACCATAGTCTACCACCACCACCACAGTCATCACCGTACCCAGCCACCATAGTCCAACACCACCACCACAGTCACCACCATACCCAGCCACCATAGTCTAACACCACCACCACAGTCACCACCATACCCAGCCACCATAGTCCACCACCACCACCACAGTCACCACCATACCCAGCCACCATAGTCTACCACCACCACCACAGTGACCACCATACCCAGCCACCATAGTCTACCACCACCAGTCACCACCATACCCAGCCACCATAGTGTACCACCACCACCACAGTGACCACCATACCCAGCCACCATAGTCTACCACCACCACCACAGTGACCACCATACCCAGCCACCATAGTCCACCACCACCACAATAACCACCACCACCACCACACATAACCACCATCCCCTCACTACCACCACCACCACAATAACCACCATCCCCCCACTACCACCACCACCACCACAATAACCACCATCCCCCCACCACCACCACCACCACAATAACCACCATCCACCAGCACAATAACCAGGTCCGAGATGGTGTGGTGGTAGTACATATCCCAAGAGTGGCCCAGAAATATGAGGCGCGGAGTGGGACGGTGTTCAGTATAAGGAAAGTGAATTACTTACCCTCATCTTCCTCTCACTTTACCCCTCTGCTTCTCCTGCACCCTTCCGTGTCCTCTCCCTTCACCGTCTTCTGTTCCTCCTCTTCCTCCTCCTCTCATCTGCCTCACTTGTTCATAATATTCTTTCTCACCCTTTTACTCCTATCATTATCCCTTCTACTGCCCCTTTTCCTCCCCTCTCTTAATCTTCTCCCATTTCATTATTCTCTCTTTCCATCCGGCCCTCTCTTAACACACCCCACCCGCCCTCCCCTAATATATCCAATCTCCCCTACTTACCTCCCCTCGTACTTGCCCTACCTTCCTGCATCTGGACACCTCAGCCGTCCTCCTCACATGATGGGGGTGGCCACCCTCCACCCCCCTCCCCACATGATGGGGGTGGCCACCGTCCTCCCCACATGATGGGGATGGCCACCGTCCTCCCCACATGATGGGGATGGCCACCGTCCTCGCCACATGATGGGGGTGGCCACCCTCCACCGTCCTCCCCACATGAGGGGGTGGCCACCATCCTCCCCACATGAGGGGGTGGCCACCCTCCACCCTCCTCCCCACATGAGGGGGTGGAGGCGCTCTCCTGTCGATATATGAGGCCAGGGAGTGAGGCACTCTCTCAGCAACACGGCAGTGTACTCGGCAACACGTCAGTGTACTCGGCAACACGTCAGTGTACTCGGCAACACACGTACTCAGTGTACTCGGCAACACGTCAGTGTACTCGGCAACACGTCAGTGTACTCGGCAACACGTCAGTGTACTCGGCAACACGTCAGTGTACTCGGCAACACGTCAGTGTACTCGGCAACACGTCAGTGTACTCAGCAACACGTCAGTGTACTCAGCAACACATCAGGGGGTACTCAGCCCCACGTCAGTGTCCTCCCCACATGAGGGGGTGGAGGCGCTCTCCTGTCGATATATGAGCCAGGGAGTGAGGCACTCTACTCAGCAACACGTCAGTGTACTCAGCAACACGTCAGTGTACTCGGCAACACGTCAGTTTACTCAGCAACACGACAGTGTACTCAGCAACACGTCAGTGTACTCAGCAACACGTCAGTGTACTCAGCAACACGTCAGTGTACTCAGCAACACGTCAGTGTACTCAGCAACACGTCAGTGTACTCCGCAACACGTCAGTGTACTCCGCAACACGTCAGTGTACTCCGCAACACGTCAGTGTACTCAGCAACACGTCAGTGTACTCAGCAACACGTCAGTGTACTCAGCAACACGTCAGTGTACTCAGCAACACGTCAGTGTACTCAGCAACACGTCAGTGTACTCAGCAACACGTCAGTGTACTCAGCAACACGCCAGTGTACTCAGCAACACGTCAGTGTACTCAGCAACACGTCAGTGTACTCAGCAACACGTCAGTATACTCAGCAACACGTCAGTGTACTCAGCAACACGACAGTGTACTCAGCAACACGCCAGTGTACTCAGCAACACGCCAGTGTACTCAGCAACACGCGTCAGTGTACTCAGCAACACTCAGTGTACTCAGCAACACGTCAGTGTACTCAGCAACACGTCAGTGTACTCAGCAACACGTCAGTGTACTCAGCACAGTGTACTCAGCAACACGCCAGTATACTCAGCAACACGCCAGTGTACTCAGCAACACGCCAGTGTACTCAGCAACACGCCAGTGTACTCAGCAACACGCCAGTGTACTCAGCAACACGTCAGTGTACTCAGCAACACGTCAGTGTACTCAGCAACACGTCAGTGTACTCAGCAACACGTCAGTGTACTCAGCAACACGTCAGTGTACTCAGCAACACGCCAGTGTACTCAGCAACACGTCAGTGTACTCAGCAACACGTCAGTGTACTCAGCAACACGTCAGTGTACTCAGCAACACGTCAGTATACTCAGCAACACGTCAGTATACTCAGCAACACGTCAGTATACTCAGCAACACGTCAGTGTACTCAGCAACACGTCAGTATACTCAGCAACACGTCAGTGTACTCAGCAACACGTCAGTATACTCAGCAACACGTCAGTATACTCAGCAACACGTCAGTGTACTCAGCAACACGTCAGTGTACTCAGCAACACGTCAGTGTACTCAGCAACACGTCAGTATACTCAGCAACACGTCAGTATACTCAGCAACACGTCAGTGTACTCAGCAACACGTCAGTGTACTCAGCAACACGTCAGTATACTCAGCAACACGTCAGTATACTCAGCAACACGTCAGTGTACTCAGCAACACGTCAGTGTACTCAGCAACACGTCAGTGTACTCAGCAACACGTCAGTATACTCAGCAACACGTCAGTGTACTCAGCAACACGTCAGTATACACAGCAACACGTCAGTATACTCAGCAACACGTCAGTATACTCAGCAACACGTCAGTGTACTCAGCAACACGTCAGTGTACTCAGCAACACGTCAGTATACACAGCAACACGTCAGTATACTCAGCAACACGTCAGTGTACTCAGCAACACGTCAGTGTACTCAGCAACACGTCAGTGTACTCAGCAACACGTCAGTATACTCAGCAACACGTCAGTATACTCAGCAACACGTCAGTATACTCAGCAACACGTCAGTGTACTCAGCAACACGTCAGTGTACTCAGCAACACGTCAGTATACTCAGCAACACGTCAGTATACACAACAACACGTCAGTATACACAGCAACACGTCAGTATACTCAGCAACACGTCAGTATACTCAGCAACACGTCAGTGTACTCAGCACACGTCAGTGTACTCAGCAACACGTCAGTATACTCAGCAACACGTCAGTATACTCAGCAACACGTCAGTATACACAGCAACACGTCAGTATACTCAGCCACACGTCAGTATACTCAGCAACACGTCAGTATACTCAGCAACACGTCAGTATACTCAGCAACACGTCAGTATACACAGCAACACGTCAGTATACTCAGCAACACGTCAGTATACTCAGCAACACGTCAGTGTACTCAGCAACACGTCAGTATACTCAGCAACACGTCAGTGTACTCAGCAACACGTCAGTGTACTC